TCCGCCACTGACGCAAATTATCATCACAAGAGTGATAATACAAGAAAATACCTATACATTTTATATTACATTATTATCGTTTGTATGAGCTATGCATCTAACTCTAACGTATTAAACATTAGTATACACTATACCTACTTTACATCACAAATCATAATATTTGTTGTCAAAATGACGTACTATAATTTGAAAACATCTTGGAAAATAATATATTAAAGTGTACCTATATACCTTAACGTTATGAAATATTAATTTACGTATTAAATAAATCTACATCATCAAATATGAACATATTAAATACATTTTAAATTGTAATATTATATAATAATCGTGCAGTTATAAGACTGAAGCGAATTTAATCACTACATTTAGGTAAATGTCTTTAAATTATAATATATAAAGTAATGATTTATATTGCAGTAACATATTTTTTTTATTTTAAATTGAAAGGAAATTACTATGTACCCCAAAAATGCTTCCTTATTTTTATGGAATTTAATTCCCAATGAAAATAGGAATAACGATTTAATTCAGTCTCTTGATGAAATTGTAAATTTAATAGGCTAATTTAAATATTTATTTATTTATTTTAAAATGGTAATTTTGATATAAATCGTTAAAATATTTTATTCTGTATAGGTATAAACTATAAAACGTATATGAACAAATTAGCCTATTACGTCATATATGTAGTACCTACAAAACAATTTCGATAAATGTAAAATGTAAACAATGCTATATGTCACATGTACTCGTCCAAAATCATTTGTTGGCGTTCGTGTTTGCGTAATTCGATATAAACGAAATTCCGTAAACCACATCAGTGAATAATATAGTTTATTATCTTTCCCTAATACTTTATTATATTTTCCGAAAAATCAATAATTCCATTTTAGATATCACATTCGACAAACCGGTGTCAAAAATAAAACCAAAAAAAGGTAAGGTACTATTATTATGAGAGTATGAGTTATTTTGCATCACTATAATTCGTAATCCATCCCAAGTACCTATGCGATTGTTTTTAAATTTGAAAACAATGATAATTCATATAATACCTATCTAAGTAAAAACAAAAAAACGACTGCAAGAAAATCAATTTACCAACCCAAATATTATGGTCAATATTTTTTTAGACACAGTTTCTTGCTTCCATCATGTCGGTATCGATTTTCTCAGGCACAAATTCGAAAAGTTACCATCATAAAAACTTACATATTGTATAAAGCACAATCTGTGTTCAATTCCCAATTTGTAATAGTGCTGCAAGAAACTTTTCAAAGTTTTGATACTCTCTCAAAAAGTGTTTACCGAAAGAAAAAAACACAGTATCATTTTAAAACACTAAAACTTATCATCGGCTGCCCTCGACCCGTTCAAAAACTATAAGTTCTAGTTAAAGAAATACTATACAGTATCAATATTCAATATATATATATAATATATAAATAAATACGTGTTGAAGTTTAGAACATTAAAGTTTTGAAAAAATAATTGAAATAATATCATCTGCGTTTATTGTTAACAAAATTTCATTATAGATCCATACATTACAGGGATTATTAACGTCATAATACCAAATATAACAATACAATCTTATAATTAATATAATAATTAAAATTAATTAATATTTACTTTAGACACGACACGAGTAAAACTATAAAAGAAATTAATATATTAAATATTTGTTGTACTAACCAGAGAAATGTAAAAATTATACGTTAAAAAAATAATTTATTTTTGTTTAATAAAAACTTGGTTGATTTTGTTATGTTATTCGAATAAATATTAGTTATATGTAAATTAAAAATGTAGCTGTCGATCACTCGTCTCTATTTTTAGCCATAGTTAATTAACATACTATAATTTACTATTCAGTATTTCAGTAAATGTAATGATCTTGTGTATAGTATGCTAACTAAGCTTATAATTATTAGGTATAAATGTATATAACCACTGGACGTACCAAATGCGAAAACAACGTTTGGCCTTACGAAAATATTAACTCAATAATGATAGGTACCTACATGGAAATATAATATCTAATTAAAATCATTTATTTTACAAACAATGCAAAAACAAAAAAATAATAGAAATAAATAAACATTTAACAAAATGTAAATATATAAAAATTATGAATACTATAATATTAATATTACTTGTTACTTCTATCCTGTTTTCTATAAAATAAGCCTACTAGGTGTTCTTATTGTATATAATTATAATGTATATTACATGATCCTTTTTATTTTCCGACGTAATTTTATTGTTGAACAAAAAAATTATTAATTACTATTTTCTATAGTCTATACAATAATATATGTATACCTACATTATAAGAGTTATTACTAATTATATATTTTATCTATTTAAATTGTAAATAAAAATAATTTACATTTTTCATGATATTTATAAATTATAAGTTATATAATAAATAGTAAATACAGATTGAGGATAAGTAGCACATTCATTTTATACTTCATAGCTGTAACCCTGATTAGGTTTCTCTTCATACAATAAATATTTTAATTCAAAATTATATTATTATTTTTTGTAAGCAACCTTATAATTAAACTTTAATTTTATCCACGGACCACGATAAATGTTATAGTTTATAACAAAGAAAAATAATATTCCACCAAACGGTTAAAATTGAATATTGTAAACACCTGCCTTAGGTCCCTTAGGTGATTGATTAATTAAATATATTTAATAGTGAAGTCTAATATATAATTTGTTGTCAAAAAAAAACAATCTGAATAATTACTAATAAGCACGTATATTTAAACTGTTATGGAACATAATATAATATATAGATATACATAAATGTAGCTATGTAGGTATGATAAATAATAAATTAGGTATATTATATTATAATAGGTAATAGTTTTACCCAGTACTGTTTTTATTATTTAAACATGGCTTGGAAAAACTTAAAATTACTTTCCAATTATTTGAATGGTTGAACAAATTATTTCAAATAAATATATTAATCGTTTCATATATCATATTATTTTGTTCTAATGGAATATCAAAACAGATTCGTGTAGTTTTGTATAAAAAAAATGCTTTATTTTATAGCTACAGAGTAGTAAACTACAAAAGTGTATGTCATGAATAAAATATATACCTACGATAAATAAATAATTGGATATTGGACACGTTGTTGAAACGACAGACGAAACTGAACCCACGCCGCCATATTATACAGTGGTTGAAGAATGGGTTAGGAGGGGGAAGGTAGGTAAATCCACTTTAACTTTTATTTTATATCCCACCACTTATTCGATAAAATTTAGTCAAAATCGGGAAAATTTAAAATTTATTATGAAGGTAGTTAAAAATGTATACAATCTCAAATTTAGATTCTGAGGGGAGCGATGTGCATAGGGTCAGTTAGTATTATAACAAATAAAATAATATGCATTTTATATTGTATGTACATAAATGATATCGTGTGACGAGGATGGTGAGGGTACCTACGTTTATTCAAATCGAAAAAACCACTCCACGCACGCACACAGAACGCGGCACTCGACGAAGTCATATACTGCTCTACTAATACTGCGTAGGGAAGCGGGAATTAAAAACTGAAATACCCCGCTAACGAATCCGATAAAAAAAATGTTGGTGATTATTGTTTTACGTAAATGCTCGAGTGTTGCGCAAACATTATTATAATAATAATATCATATATACCTCTAAGGCTCACGCAGTACCTATTAGTTATATATTTATTTAAAACGGCACTCGTTTTATTCCACAGTTTTACCTGCACGACATAAATTTTTTAAAAAAAACATAGAAAACAAACATTCGATCAAACTTACAGTCAATATTTACAGTACCGTAAACGCGAATGCGGAAATGTAAACAAATACCTGCACCGATCGCCGCCTATATAAATGATAATTGTCTATGTTCATATTTATTCAAAAGGACTGCACGCATACCTCGGTAAACTAATACTAATTTAATTGTTCTACCCGTGTTGAAAATTTAAGACCTATCGAAACTATTTGCTAATATTTTTTTAATAGTTATTAATATTTAATTATATAGGCAATTTAAATTAGCAGCTTTCAACGCAGCTGTTAAAAATTATTGTATAATACCATTTTAATTAAATTCTTGTTTTTTCCAATTCTCAAGTACACTTAACCATTTTAACTATTTACAAAGTGGTACAAACGCTGTTTTTTTCAGTGAAAATCTTTCACTACTTTTCCTACTTGTAAGATTGGTTTAACCAAGTCGCAATAGACCACGCATCAAAATGTCTGATATCGCTGTCTTTGAAACAAACCAGAACTTTGGTTATAAGTTATAACTTATGAAGTTTAATGTGTACAATTTACAGCAGTAGGCGATCGACGATCGTAATCGTGTCTTGCACATAGCACCCAATGGCCAACAAAAAACAAAATTGAAATCGATATGCACTTTATTTTTATATAATATAACTTTCATTCCAAATTATCTGCGGGTAAATAATAATATTATATCTTTATGACAACTTTTGTTTATAATAGTACCTAGACGATGAAAATTATATTTACAGTGGCATTATTGTTTATTCTTGTGATTTCAAGTGGCCATTAGAACAATTTTGAAATACTTAATTGGTAACTTAAATATGTATACGATTTATATACTTATATACTATTACCTAAGTAATACGTTTACAATATTTGAGATGACGTAAATAATATATTCGTATATTAGGTATACTTGCTTATAGGTAGGTACTTAAAAGATAACAAAGCCCGAACCAAAGAAAAAATTTAGTTATTTGTGAACGAAAGAAAACACTTTGACCCAGGGTTGTCGAAATTTAGAGTTAGTTATATGTTTAGGTATAATATTCTACCTACAGTCTACACTGTGACCGGGGGGGGGGGGGTAGGGGTGGAAATTTCGTCTCTCCAGATGTTATATATTATATCCTCTTATTTCATGTACCCTGCATATAATATTATATAATACAATATACACTGCAGGTGGATGAAGTGATCGATGCCATACAGGACGTCGAGCTCAGGGACAAGTTGCGAACGGTGTGCTTGACGGACGACAGATGTTACATGACGTTCGCCAACGCCGAGTGCTTAGAACGGGCGCTTCACACGGCTTTCAGGGTCCGTGACTTGCCGGTGCTGTTGATGGACACGGGCGCGGGGGCCGTAATCCTGTCGCTGACGGGTGTGCCGGACACCGTGGCCGACAAGGATGTACTGAAATGTCTCAAGAAATACGGCACGATCATCGGTAAACAGCGATTGAGCGAATAATAGATAATAATAAAGTCGTAATATATATTATTTTAATGAGTAGAAGTGCGATGTACGATCGCCGGAAAAATATGTAGGCACTTAGGTACATATATTATTAAACGATATCATATACTTAAGTATTATCTGTAGACTTTATATGGACTATATTATATTAACATTCCCAACGGTATACTTTTAGTGGTGTATTTACGGGGGTGCACTGCTTGCGCATCCCCAGCTGGTATTATGCAACAGGTGACGTGCTTTTTCATCTACTTAAGCTCAGATTTGTTCGTATTAAATTATAATACTATTTCGTTGTTTTGTGATTGATCTACGTTTAGTAAAACGAATAATAAAACAACTTTATTTAATAATTTTGTTTATCACTATTATCAATTATAGCTGTGCCGTTATCATAGAAAAATAGACTATTTACATTTTAATAAAATTACATATTTTATACAGACATTGGTGTTTGTACGTATCAAATATAAAAAGAGGCGTGAGCGAGAAGAATGGATTTGAATATGACTTAATTTGTCTTTATGATGATTAGACCAATAAAAGTTTTGCACCTGTTAAAATTCAATGGAATTTCGCCAATATGTATAATAACTATCATAAGTAATAACCTTTATAGCGGTCAAGTTTCTGCGGACGGAGTATGACAATATTATAGAATCCACCCCCAACTTATATGGATGAAATAACTGTAAAGATTCAATGGCTTCTTGTAGCGTAATATATTTTATTTCTGAAATACCAATGGATAACATCGTGTCAACTGATAAAAAAAAATTAGGACCTTCAGTGTTGTTTAATAATGCCCTTTAGAAAATATAATAAAATAACATCATGGAATTCGACTGAATTTTAGCTACAATAATTATTATAATGTTATCGTGATTTTTTGAGTTGTGCTTTTAAGATGTAACCAGTATTATAATATAGTTGTATAGTACTCTTATGATATACAATGCGTTTTATTATTTACGTTTTACGGCAACAACAAATATGTAGGCGATAAAAACGTTGTTTTGACAAACTTCCGCATAAAACCAACATAATATAATTAAATATGGTATATGTTTAACGCAATTATTTATAATTCCTTCGTCTGATTTCGAAATTTCGTTATAAATATATATGTTTAGCCTACATCTGTCCCTTTCCGGCATTATGTTATAATTCGTATTGAATGATAAACCTACGTCTATTTATAAGTTTGTTAACGCACGAAAACTATTTTGTGTCAAATATCATCCGACAGTTTCGTTTCGTATATATTATATAATAGTTATCGATGATTGAAATAAAAGGGACGTGTCTGTATATTACATAGAATTGGCCGAGTATAGAAAACAGCTGTGGAAATAATGTGGTAAGCTAAGTTCCGAGTGCTTATAAAATATATAAAGTGGTATTTTCTCGTAATATTACTTATAATTAGGGCACGGATTTAAATGCCCTAAAAATAACAAAAAATTCATTTAACGAAAAATAAATCAAAAATGACTTTAAAAATGCATTGAAATGTAAAAATAATGGACAAAAAAGTAAAAAATCCGCTAAAAATGCAAAAACTTGTCCCGAAAAAATGCTGTGATTACAACATGCAGAACTTGAAACACATTTGTAGCTTGGAAAGCATCGTGTAAGACATTCCAAAAAAAAAGATTCAAATACATTGTACTCCTAGCCCTAATTATAATATTTTGACAAAATAATGTATATAAAACATTAATTCCATTATGAATTTTAAGTTTCTATCATTATTTTAAATACATATTGATGGGAACGTGAGTGACAGACAGTCAAGACTAGTCATGCGGTCTACCAAGTGACTCCAAGCCATATGTAGACCATCAAATTTTTAATGTGACCAAAAAAAAATTTAATTCAAAATCAAAAATCACACTTATTTAAAAATTAAATATTTTATCTATATGACTATATCTAATTATTTTATATATTAAATCATAAAATTAAAAATACCACATAAATATAAATATAAAATTATTCTTTATTGTTATATTATTATTTATTTTTATAATTTGTAAAATATTTTGTTTTTTGTACCTATGTATATCAATTCAAAATTCAAATTTTGGAAAACTATACATTTTTTAATATGATGTGACGTATTATTATTGATATTCAATAGTAAACACATCAATATAAATATTTTGAAAAATGTCTAATTGACAAAAATTATTGTATTATGTATCTACCTTTAGAAACATTAAAAAAAAAACACTTTTTTACGACTTAAAAAAAGTTAACATCATGGAACAACGATTACCTAAATAATATACCCACTTTTTTTAAATTATAGTTAACGACTTAAGCATTGTGTAGGATTTTATTATTGGAATCTGATTTTAAAGAAAATTACATTTTATGAACTTTTAAGTCGTTAACTATAATTTAAAAAAAATAATATTTACTGATGCGAGTTAATGCGAGTTATCCAGTTTTATAGAAATTGTTTTGTGATTTGTATTAATGTGTATTTTAAAAGCGATAATGATATTAAAGGTATTCAACTGTTAGTTGTAGGTTAGAAAGATGAACAATATTTCGTGTAAATATAATACAAACTAACATATATAAATATTAATTTTTATGTACATAGTATAAAAATTATACATATATACAGGGTGATCAACAAGTATTCTCACCACTTTTTAATTTCTTCAATAATGCAGTTATTCAAAATCTACAAAGTATTGTATAATTGTAAAGTTCTGTGTTTGAAATCAGAACCCCCTTCTCATCTGTAAATTATTCATTAGATAATTTTTCTGAAAACGTATCAAAATCAAAATTTGAATGAGTATTTTTTAAGTTATTTATAATAGGCCCTTGATAATAATATGGGTACTACGGTCATTTTAAATTGTAAGTAATTAATATTAATTTATCAAAATGTGTAAAAAAACACACTAGATCCAATATTACAATATATTATTATTTTTATATTTTTGTAAAACCATTTCTTTATAGACTTTTATAGGTACTTCTTAGTATAAACATTTTAATAGCTGAAAAACTACTCTTTCTAATTTTTAATTTGGTGGGTACATCAAATTATTTTCAAAAATATTGTCCACTAAATAGTTTACAGTAAAATAAAAGGTAGGGGGTGGGTGTTTTCATTTGGAAATCAGAATTTTGCTTCACTATGGGACACTCGCATATTGAACGTTATATACTTATGTAGTACAAAAAATCTCAAAAATTCATAAATATGGTAAAAATATTAAGTATATGTGAAATATCCAAAAAATCTTAATTTTAATAAATCCACTATTACAGATGAAAAACTTGGATGGGTGAGTGAATGCTCGGGAATCACTCTGTATACAGTGTACCTATATTGTACACCCGCGGTGTATAAACATGTAATAATATTATTATCGTAACGCTATTTTTCGGCGCTACACAAATAGCTCGTTGGCTAAGTGCGGTACCTACCTATTATTGTCATAATTCACACTGCAGGCGGAGTGGAGAGGAAGACTGCCAGGTGTGGGACGGCCGGCGGCGAGCGTTACGTGCGCGTCCGGCCGACACTTGGTGCGCCCAGGTACTTGTGGTTCGGGTCGGACAAAGTCATCGTCAGGCAGCTGACCGAGCACGAGACGGGCACGATGAACAGCATCGCCCGGCGAAAGTCGTTCAGATCTCAGATCAAGTTGAACTTGAAAATGGCCGACGCACCGACATCGTCCGGCGACCACGGCGGAGGAGCGGACAGTGGCGGCGGCGGTGACGACGAGGCCTGCTGCGGAGGTGGCGACGGCGTCGTCGTCGGGTCCTGCACAGCAACCGCGATGACCGCGGTATCCGTTCAAAATGGATTCAAGTACTTACATAATATTATTATAATATTATTATAGCCATGTTACAATATCATAATATATTATAGTGCACCTCAATTTTAACAGCAAACATAGATTCAATGGCGTACCCAGGATTTTTCAATGGGGGGGGGGGGTTGAAAATTAGTTACAATTTTATTTTTATTTTGTCCAGTCTAATAATTTCAGACGTTTTATTTGAGGTATTTTAAACTGTTTGTAACTTCTCAACTTTTCTGGTAGAAAAAATGCACTGATCATAAATTTCGATGCCCGTCGCCCGATGTATGTTTTTGGAAGAAAATTGAATCTAGTTGGTACTTTTAAGAGGTCAAAATTGAATGCTCAGTGCTTTCTAAAATAATTGGAGAAAAAAAATAAAAATTTATTAAAATTGTTTGGTAACCAGCTTGGTTACCGTCCTCACTTGGATTGTATTTGATTAATTAAAATATTTTAAAATATGATTTATTCGATCAAAAAGCTTAAAAGTGTAATACTAAAGTTTTTATTATACCTAAAATATTAACGATACATTATCATCATGGTTATGTTTTATAAGCATTTAAAGTTCAAATTTCGTCAAATCCACAGTTAATTTGCAGTTCAAAACTTACAAAATATTAAATGTGTATAGCTAAGGCTAGACAATTTAATACAAGGTCTTTCATACAAGTATTCATACTTTTACCGAAAAATTACAGATAATTTATGAAAATTTTTATGCAAAAACATTGTTTTTTCAAAAATGAATTCATTCTGGTAGGTAAGACATATATGAAATTTACGTCTTGCTTACTATATTTGACAGTTGAAACTTGATAAATATTTTTCTTAAAAGCAATAATAATACGGGCAATGGGCAATGGGGGGGCTTCAGCCCGTTAGCCCCTCCCCCCTGCGGACGCCACTGCATAGATTATTTTGAAAACTATAATTTTTTTTTTATTGGATAATTTGATATATTATATAATATTATATAGATTATAGATTATACTATTATAGAATTTTAAATAGATGCAATCCCAAGTTTTTTTTATTATTCAAATATTAACAAATAATTTTCATTTCTATTCAGAGAATTATATAAATATTAGCAAATACGAAGGGAAGGAATAAAAAAATTCTCTTCGGATCAAGGAATAAATTATAGTTTTATAGGTACGACAATGTTTTTTAAAAATATATTATTATATAGGTACAATAGAAGTTATACTTTTATAAAATCCGATCAAAAAATATTTCTTTGCATACATCGATAACAGTTATTTGAGCTTTGATTAAATCTCATTTAATATATATTAATCATTACCCACTGCAACATCTAACGCCGTACAAACGATAACGACAGCGTTATTAAATTACTATTTCTACTCGGTCTTATTAATTAAATTTCAAACCTATAGACAATAAGTCCATTTGGATGCCTTCCTGTTTTCTCTCATACTTGTGAAATGCAATAAACAATATACTGTACTGAAATACTGATGGTAATTCTATATACCATCCAAACTATTCCATACATACCAAATTACCAAATGAGATTTATCTGTAACACTAACCTTAATAAGCCTCAATTATTTTTGTGTCGGTGCTTCCACATAAATGTATTTGGTATATCTACCTATATGGTTATAATATATTATGTATAATATATTACTAGTAGATACAATTAATTTTCCCATTTACGTCGTTTTGCTGAAAATGCAGAACAATATTTAATTCTAATATAATCGGTATGTACAAGTCTTCTGTTTTTCTTAAGGTTACAATCAAACAGTTATATTTTTATAATTTCTCACAAAAAAAATCTGTTTGGTACATATTATTACAATTAAAATGTATACAGTAATTAAAAAATGTAAAATCTTGTTTTGTAAAAATGCCATTTTGTAGTGACTTCAAATCGTAAAAAAAATATTTACAAAAACATTAATACTTTTTGAGAAAATTAGTGTTTACTTTTAAAACAATAACGTTACAACTTGTACAACTAAATATACCCAATAGAGTATATGATGTTCTTGAATTGTGTCGACTTTGATAACTTTTTAATTTTTAATTTTCCATTAAATTTTATCACCACATAGTGTTTATTTATTTTACAGAATAAAAATGATATTTAGAGTTATACAGTTATACAGGTTGTATAAGCACATAAAATAAAAATATTAATTATTATACACAATTAAATTAAGCTAGATAATATATAATATTCATATACAATAATAATATTTGTAGAAACTTTGTACATATTTCAATAAAATTAGACTAAATGTTATAGATATTACAAGAAAATAAAATTATGTTTGCAGGAAAAAGTAAGGAGTAGGTAGTTATGAAATATTTTATTTGAGAAAAATGATCATTATTTCGTGTATGTATTAGTATTATTAATTAGGTAGGTAGCTATTTGGTTTTAATGTGTTCATATTAAAAAATCCCTAACCTCCAGGTTGAATAATTTAATTTACAATAACAGTATAATTAATTATTTGAAATGTGCTCGAAATAACGATATTAAAACGAAAGCTGCTATGATATATTATACTACGAGTATACATATACACCTGCATAAGTTTTCATGTATTTGACTTCATAGGTAATTTATAATAAAAAAGGCGTTGGTTTTCTCTTAAAAAAAGAAGTTTGTATCACCATGGGACACTCTTCGAGCAATGTAAAAAAATGTAAAAATATTTATAAAATATTATGCAAGTAAACTTAAAATCCCGTGATCAGAAATTGAATAAATTCATTGTTAAATGGGTCGAATGCGGGTTAACATGCTTGGTAGTTTCGCCATTTAATTTGTACCCTGTTTGTATAATATATAATGTTGTTCTTTTTTTTTATATAGATTCCCGACGTCGGATCCAAAACCTGCAGCCATTGCCGGTCAACCCGTGACAGCGGAACCCAAGACTGCGGTGCTGGTAGCCTCGACGACGAACTCCAAGTCGGCCGGTTCGCCGAAGAAATCGAAACCAGTGCCGGCGAACGATAGGGACAGTGCAGGTCCGCCGACGGCTGCGTCGGCCCCTTCCGAATCGCCTCTAAGGGGCCGACGGAGGACGTCTCTGATGGGTTTCAGGCGGGAAACCATAATCAAGCACCGTGGAGGGTCCGTGTCCCGGGCTGACGGTGGTGAGGACGCGGACAGCGACACGAGCACGATTTGCCGCCGAAAGCTGAGCATCACCGGTCGTGAGGGTACGGAAAAAGTGCCATGGTGTGGGTGCTGGGGCAACGGATGTCTATAATGTATAATTATAATACAGTCGAGTTTCTAGAACAAAAAGTTTTTTTTTTGTGTATTTATTATAAGTTGTGTTTGAGGTATGTATATAACTCGAATAATACATAAGACGAATTTATTTTTATTCCCCTTGAGATTCGAGTTATCGAGACTCTATTACGTATAGTATTATGTTATATTTATGGCGTACTCATCGATATTTTGCCCGAAAATAGTATAGGTAGGTACCTACTTTTTTATATTAATGAACATAAACGCTTATGCTAAGATTGTTTTTTTGACGAGTAAGTTTTTATAAAGTTTTTTTTTGATGTGAACTTTAATAATTTATGTACTATAAATTAACGTATTGTATGTATAATTGCTACCAATTAAATTAATAATTATCATAATATGATGTTTAATGTTTTGTATCAATGTATAAATTATATTGTAAATTGTAATATTTATACTATATTATAATAATATTTAATACAGTGAATACTCATTGCTGGTTGATAACCTAACGTTTTTAAAAATCAAGACGCGTAATGCAATATTTTAACATTTTATTATAATACCTAACTTAGTTATTTTTACCATCGTATATTTACTGGTGAACTGAACATTATAAACTTTGATTTTTAAGAGGATGTCACACCCATCATGTGTTATCTCCGTCTTACAAATGTACAACATAGCAAAAACTGTTTTGCGTGGGACAAATTTTATCTTTCTGTGTTTGTAGTAGTGGTTCCAAAATTTCTGAACATATAGGGTGGAAAATTATCTATATTTTAGATAACATAAATACAATAAAAGTTATTTGCTTCTAAACATTTGTTTTTTTTGTTTTTTTCATTTGCTTATAAAAAATGATTGGATAATGCTATTTAAAAAAAGAGCACTCTGTTGCACAAATAAAGTTCTTCTTTAGGTGTTGTGAAAATTTGGTATTTCTACAACAAATACGGTGCGATAAAAGTTGTCCCCCGCAAAACAGTTTTTGCTATGTTGTACATTTGTAAGACGGAGACAACACATGCGAGTGTGACATCCTGTTAACGGTTATCTATAGTTTTAGTTTCATAATATATGAGGCAGAATATTTTATTCAAGTTAATTTATAAATAGGTAGGTAATTAATATCTATATGTATCAAATATTTAACAAAAAAATTTCTTTTTTTTTATAATTTACAAATAAAATCAATTCAATGTTTAATAATACACAATTACAAAGTTTAATAATAATAAGATGAGCAAAGTGGCCTGAAAAATTGTTGTCCACTATACTGCACGAATTCACATTTGTATACAAGTATAATTTGCATCTCGTATTAAAATGTAAAGGATGGGTTGCAGTTAAAAAATCAAAAGTTGATACTGCGATCGGACTTCACACTCATGTTGCGCCCCAAATACTTCTGTGCGAACTACTAATAGCTGTGTGCCTGTGTGGCTTTTCATTGAAAGTTCAGCGACATATTCTACAGCACACAGTTTTTTGTATTTCGATGTTTTGAAAATCATTCAATAGTTAGATACGTATATTATATATAAAACTAAAAAGTACTCAGTATTCACTTAAGTAATCTCAGAACAATTAATAAAGTAGTACCTAACATTCATTAGATTACAACAATTTATAATATTGATGAATTAGGAGAAAACTAAATTAGAAAGTCACAATTTGTAAAAAAAATATGTCAAATAACTTTATACTAGTGCGATAATATTCTACAATGAAACATTATCAAAAAAATACACGGCACATTTAAACAAAATAAGATATATTTTTTAAGAACATTTGAAAAATTATAAAATTCCATAATATATAATATATAATTTTATATTTTTAATTAGTATGTACCAATAAAAATGTTACTCACAATTTGTATGTGCGCTTAAAAAACCTAGGCCGCAATTAGTAAGTACCTAGTACCTACCACAAAAAATCTCTGGCCGCAATTCAGAAAACATTTGTACTGCGGGACACAACAACTATAACAGATAAATTTATTTTTTCAAGGTCAGTATGAAACGTTAAGTACACCTTAAAGTGTGTTCACTTTTTTTCAGAAAGAACATTTCGATTTAAGTTAAAAGTTTTCGAAATAATGAGCTACATAATATAGTTATAAAAATCACTTGAAACGTATTGAACGTAATATTGTGTTTTAAGTGATTTATCTCAGTTATCGACAAAATAATATTTTATTAGTTTGATAAAAGGCATTAAATGAAAAATGTCGGTCGAAACAAATGCTAATTTTTCCTATGTACGCCGTTATTTTAACGAATGGAGGAGTGTTAAAAATTGAACGATCGAAACTTTGACAGTATTAGGCAATTTTAGTGACATCATACAGTCAGTTTCTATTGGGAAATACTCAAAAATATATAATTTAATTGTGATAAAGATTGAGCCGTTTATATATACTTGTGTTTGTATATTATTAGCGATTAGCCAACAATACTTGTATAAATTATATCTTAAATTCCCTGCACGGCTGCACACCACAATAATTATTTATTTTACTATACCCAGACTAGACTACATTTCATGTTCACCAATCGTTCATTAAACTCTATAAATTTAAATATATGATGACTTGTATAATATGTATATACAATTATTATACATAATATATATAATCATGTCTACGGATTATGACGAGACCGAAAATCGAATAAAATGATTTAACATTAACAGAATATTGAAATGAAAAATTATAATAACAATGTATTATAATATTATATAATATCATATATAGTATATACCATAAACTCACTGACTATCAGTTATGATAAGTGGTGTAGCCGGGGGTTATTGAGTATCTCCCCTCAATTGATTTTTTGTGCATAATAATATTAATATATATTATAGCTACCGGACGCCGCCTGCCGAGGCACCATAAATACATATAGTATAGTAACCACCTCCTCCCCTCAACACCCATTTGTAAATCCTGAGTTTTTCGCTGTTTATTATTTCTATATAAATAACATAGATCAGTTATTCTCAATTTGGGGTGACCAACAAATTTTTTAGGGTCACCGTATGCAGTATATAAAATAAAATACTAGTAGGTGTTTTTTTATTTACTTGAATATATCACCAATGAGAATTAGTTTAACCAAATCTATTGATTCGAGGATTTACAAAATAAATTCTAACCAACAACAGCAAAGGAGTAAATACATTTTAAAAATATCACTTATATAATATAATGTTTTCTTTCTTAAGATTCTTATATTAATTATTAGGCCATCTGTTACATATTTTAACAAAAAGCTTAAAACATGGTAATACCTAAATAAATGACTCGAAATAACGGAATGAAAAGGCCTCTCAGTGGAGATACTTTATCGTGGAATAGTATATACCTATACCTATGTAATGTAAAGTTTTTTTTTTGTAAAATTAGTTTTTAATAATCTTATTATTATACTTATTATAATATTTTCAATTTTAGTACAATGAATTTATCATGTACATATTATTTTTATTTTTATTTTGAATACAGTAATAACCGAAATTGTTTATAACAACTTTTTAATGATAACATTACAAAAGCGTTGTTAAAAATCTTGATGACATTATTATACAGGTAATCTAAGCCGCTGCTATTTAGAGAACAATAATATAATATTATATATTATTAATATGTGCAGACGACTAGTGGAACTATATCAACTCATACGACTTCGGGTGCAGTATACATACTATTATTTTCTATAAAAATATTATTAAAAAAGCCTTATGACCATTTAAATCAAACGGAAAATTAGTACATACATAATATATGTACATCAGTCGAACATTTATGTATGGAGCAATGTGATCAAACATAAAACATTTACATCGATCCAGTGTACCAATATTTCCCGCGGGTTTATTACGACACGTTTTGTTAAATACCTACGCGCGAAAGAAGATATTGCGTGAACTAACGAAATAAAAATGTACAAACCTACGATCGTAGGTATAAAACCATCGCATAATGACCAGAAATTGTGTGTGAGAATATTGCAAATGGACAAATTATTTTTATTCCGTTACGATAAAGCGGCAGTGCTGGAACTACGGGGTTGACACCTTAATGTATCTATATACCAGGCTATAATATTATGCATGTCTCAAACATCGAAACGCGTTTGTGATACGAATATTAAAAAGGTGGTTTTAAGTTGGCATTATCTATTATGTCGAAAACGATTACATATTATTATTAATATTTCATACAGTTATTTAAAACATAGTTACACAGTTCGTGTATAAACCATTTTTAAAAAAATATATTTTATAGATAATATTGTTCTGTTAAACTATTATGTACTCGGATTCAGTCGAAGCTTATTTTTATAAAACTAATTAAATATAGTTAATTACGGCTAACGCTGCTGACAGGTCTAGATCGTCTAAGATCGTAGGGAAAGGGAACATATTATATTAAGTTATATTGAATACCTATAAATAAATATTAAATATTATTATAAAATGAAAACCTAATAATATTCAGATAAGACTTGTATAGTTGTATTTGTATACATTAAAAAAAAACATTAATAATAATTATAGTAGAAGCTTTAGATCAATATAGATAGATACATATATTATATATGTTTAAGAAATTAAAATAAAATATGTAAATCAAATTATGTGGATGATTAACAAAAAAACTAATAAAAAAATAATTATTGCAATATTTTTTTATCTCATATAAGCCCCACCAACAATATTTTGTTCAGATTACGTACATTTAGAAATTTAACATAAGTTTTTTTTTTAAATATAATAATATTACTATATCGGGAGTGCCTATCTAATAAATAGTGATGACTGATTTGTGAATTGTGACTGCGACTATGAATTGTGTATTGCGGTGCCGCGGCCGCGGTCAGTGTGATAACTGATAAGCATACAAAAGAAAACCATTTAAATATTTTTACATAGGTCAACAAATCAACAAATAATTTAATTTTAAGATTCATGGAACTAACTCACAGCCCACAATGTCAC